AAGCCGCGCTTGGAAGTGTCGTCCAAGCCGTGGATTTGGCCTACGAACAAGGAATCGAGGATCGCGCCAAGCTTCGGTCCCTTCGAAATGTTCTCGTCAAGAAGGGCAGCTGGCCGGGTACGAAGATTCAAATTAAGCCTATGTTTCGAAAGAAGAAGACAGAAGAGCCAGCTATTAGTGAGGAGCTAGTCGCCGTGACCGAGGAGAAGAAAGATACCACTGAAGAGGCGGGCGACTCATCCAAGGAGGATAAGTCTCATCAGGGTCCAAAACGACAAGATTCACTTTCTGGAGTAACGATGTCCAAATTCACCGCCGCTGAGGAGCGTTTGGTCCTCGACAAACTGCAGCTCATTGTCAAATGGGGAGGCGAGCCAACACATTCGGCCCGATATCAGTCTCAAGAACTCGGCGAGAATATGCGCAACGACCTCATGCTTTTGAACAGGGATATTCTAGACGAAGTTCACGTTTTCAGCAGTTCTGAGAGACGTGTGACTACCAGTGCTCAAATTTGGGCTGCATCATTCTTGGGCAAGAAGGATATCCCTGAGGACTTTATCACCATCCGTAAGGATCTTTTGGATGATTCAAATGCTGCCAAAGATGAGATGGATAAGGTCAAGAAGAAGCTCAAAGGGCTACTACGCAAGGGCAACGAGCGTCCTGCGCAGTTCACTTGGCCAGAAAACATGCCTGAACCGTCTGAAGTACAAACAAGAGTCGTACAGCTGATGAACTTTCACCGACGTGTGATGGATCACAACTACAAAAAGCTACAGAGTGGTGCTGTTACATCCCTCAATGCTATCTCAAACCCAAGTACCGAGAAATTGTCAGGAGAAAACTCAAGCTCATCAATTGCCTCATCACTTTCGCAGGCAAACACCCTCAACCAGATTCAGTCAAGATGGTGCTGTGGCGAAGATGCTGAGCTCTTCCGAGAGCGCTGGGAGAAACTCTTCCAGGAGTTCTGTGATGGCGAAAAGGTTGACCCAAGCAAGATATCGGAACTTTATGACACCATGAAGTTCGATGCACTGCACAACCGTCAGTTCCTCGAATGGGTATACACGCCGCCTAACCACATGCTTGATGAATACACAGCTGCTGGTGCCAGCAGTGTCCCTGGAGGCTCTAATGGTACCAAGGATGGAAAGTCAAAAGAGTCTGAGGATGGCAAAACTTCCGATGACAAGAGTGATAAGAGTCATCACCACTCGCCTGAAGGGTCAGACAAGGTGGATGCAGGGAGCAGATCAGCCTCAGTCAAGAAACTGTTTAGAAGACGATCGTTCCTTAACAATCTGCGGCACTTCAACGAAGAGGCGCCACCAGAGCAATACTTCCGCCTTTATAAGGGCACAAAGCAGACTGCATCCACAACAGATGCTCATAATGAACCATTGCAGGAACTCTACCGTCTTGCTAAGGTTCTGTTTGACTTTATTTGCCCTCAGGAATATGGTATCTCGGATAGTGAGAAACTCGAGATTGGTTTGCTCACATCTCTGCCTCTCCTCAAGGAGATTGTGCAGGATCTAGAGGAGATGCAGGCGTCGGATGACGCCAAGTCATTCTTCTACTTCACCAAGGAGTCACATATCTATACATTGCTAAACTGTATCATTGAGGGAGGCGTTGAGACTAAGATTAAGCGCAGCACTATCCCAGAGCTCGATTACCTTTCTCAGATCTGCTTTGAACTCTACGAAGCAGAGATGAAATCAGGCGATGGATCATCGCCTCACGACGCGCCTACGTTTACGTACAGCATTCGTATCACCATCAGCCCTGGCTGCCATGTCTTCGATCCCTTGCATGTTCAACTCGACAGTCGGCATTGCATCGGATGTGCTCCCAGGCGAAGTTTGACACCCCACGCGGACTGGTTGCAGGTCATCAAGACACTCCGAGCCAAATTCAACCAGTAAGTCTTTCTTCAGACGTCCGCCAATGCCGTGTGAATATCAACTAACATCCGTGCAGGGTCAAACTACCAAAGACGTTCCTGGCAGTCAACCTGTCTGATGCCTTCACATTCGAGGACCTTGAACGACAAGGCAGTGATAGCGATGTGTTAGAGATGAAGACTGCGCCGTCCAGAGGCATAACCGAGCAACCCAAATCTCCTGAAGAAGAGGGTTCAGAGACACTTGCAACTGGTGCTGGTGAAGTTATGATCTCATAGATCAGGGAAGTAAGCCCGAGAAGACGAAGATGAGAGCATATCATATGTCTTGTATGTGATAAGGCGACCAGAGGAGTTCGGGACTTTGTAATGGGGCTTGTCTAATCACCCAATAGTGGCGTAGCGTCTGCAAGTCCCCTTGTATGTTTCATAATGGCGAGCTGTTGAGAGAGTATGATGAGTATTGTCACGATTTAGTGTGACATCTCAAGTTATCTTGCATTATCGAAATAGAATACCCACATTTAAATAGAAGCAGGCTAGTCACAGACTCTTGTTGCTCTTAAATGGAAACACGAGTTGGCATGTGAAAGTATTTCTCTGTAACCTCAATCTGCACGCTTTCACGTAACTAGTTGTGAGGTAGTCGCATTGCAGTTGGCCTTATCGGGTTAATGAGTCCTTCACATGAGGGACATCGCTGCGGGATTAGAATTGTGGTGTCACTCTTAGATTTCTTGGCATGATTTTTTGATCGGGCAAGGTTTGGTTGGGGTTTTTCTCCGAGGCTCGGCACAGCATGGTAGAGATCCCCCCTAATTGCGAAAAACCAACAGCGTGGGATCGGTAGTCTTGAGCATAGATAAAAAAGGCTCATACTTCGGAGCCCCAGAAACCGGGCATCTGGGTCAGAGTATTGAAAAGCGATCGCCGGTAAACTTTTCTTGTCCTGAAACTCGCTCCGAAGTCGTAGATTCAGTATCAACTGACTTCAGGGATGAATTTCTGGGACGACCTGACGTGCGAAGCAGTGTAGATGTGGTGTTATCAACTCCGAGCTTTGCACGGGGAACTTCTACACCGACGTGCCAATGATCAGATTGTGGAGGTGTTCACACCAGACCGACAGGGACCACGGTTGTTTGATTACCCAGGACATAAGTTCGACTTGCGTTCTGGAATTTGTGGATTATGATGGTAGGCTCTCTTGGTGGTCTGTTGAAGAGCCATCACCTGATACGAAGTCCAGGCTTGACGATTGTCCATTGAGCCATGCAAAGCTGAGGACAAATGTTTAATAATAGAGAAACAGCCTTACAAATCCATTTGAGTTCCGGAATCGAAAGATGAAACATCCAGCTCAACGCATGAGAACTGTGAGACAGCCTCTCGAAGCTAAAGTCGAGTGAGGCAGGCACTCATAGAATCTTGGGCCCAAGCTTCAACACATGCAAACTGAAGCTCAGGGATACTACCGTTATGAAGTTAGCGACGTCACTCAAGATCGAGAGGGTTTAAGACAGCGGGATGGTGACCGTATACGGAAGAGACTCCGCTTGGAGATCAGAGACAATTGAGGCACTTGCAGATGGGGGAAATGTGATGCTGGTACCCCGGCAGATGTGGACTGAGCCGTTCGATACGCTCAAGTCGAGATGAAAAACCATGTATGTCAGATTTTGGCATGCAAGAAGATCCAATTGCACTCTGAACGGGTGTGGGAACGCGTAGCCGTTGGGTTCGAAAGCAGAAAGGTCAACAACCGATCAATTGCTTCTTGTTACTACTCTTTACGGTTACTGACAAGGGGATGAAACCCAGGCGAGGCGGTCCTCTATTCCATTTGGCCGAATGTTGAGGTGGTTGAAGGAGCAAACTCTCAGTGAACGCAATGATGTTGTATATATGCGGTCCTCCTGGTTTCAGTTTCGGAAGCGATGCGTTAAAATGAGGGTTGGACGCCCGTTGAAGCCCATGTAGGGCATTCTTGACATTCAACAGCCACCGATCTTGGCTTGTGAGAGCCAGGGTCCCGGACGGGTGGCTTTCCAAAAGTGTGGCAGACTGCAGGACACTTGCAGCTCGCAGCGGTCTAATGGTGACCAGGGGGTTTGTCGACATGCCTTAGTGGAAATGGGGGCGGTTGAAATGCCGGGACAGCCAGATTAAGCCGGCGACAGGCTACTTGTGGATGGATAGCGGATTTGGTGTCGTTTCCGGGGAGAGTAAACTGTGCCGGGTAAGCTGGTGGCCCGTGTGAGGGTCGCATGGTGTTGAAGTCAGCAGATTTAACGATTATAGCGAGTAGTCTAAGATCATAGTTAGTTGAGCAGGATGAGGATCTCTGCCTGGAGAGCTCTATGTAGGGTAGCTATCAAAGAGGATCTCAAAAAGTCCAATACCGGATAATTAGAGATGGTAATCAGGCGGAATACCATATCTGGGCGGCTGAGACTTGCGATCGACGATGGAGTCGCCATGCATCTGGAAAATTTGGTAGCGAGGCGAAGAGACAAGCGACAAGGCCTGCCACGTTGTCTTTTTCGATCAAGCAAGCAGGGAACTACAGTACATGCAGGCAGGCATTTCCCTATAATCCTTGCTTGATTTGATAACATGGAGGTGATTGTTGACGATGATGCGTGGGTATGTATGTCGATATTTGTGATGAAGATGGAGAAGCTAAGAGAAAGAGTTCTGAGATACGATGGAAAACAAAATAAAAGGGGTGACAGACGAGATTTCGATGACAGGGTCTTAAGAAAGCGAACTATTCAGAGTGGGAAGGTCCGGAAGGTAACAGTAGGTAGCACTTGGGTAAGGTAGCTAAGGCAGGTATGGATGAGTTGATGGTTTCCTAGGTTCATGTTCCAATCCGTGTAAGCGGAAAGTGGAAAGTGGAGGAGGAGGGGATGGAGAAGAGAGTATGGGGTCATCCATCAGTCACAGATCAAAAAAGGAAGTAGGCCCAGAACAACTTCACTTTGCCTCGGTGCATCTCGCTGAAAGGGGATAATCAAAATCAGACCATACATACACACACACACACACACACACACACACACACACAAGTAAGAATTTGTTAATATCCGGATTATGTTATAATGACAAAATGTGACTTTACCGTGCCATACCATACCAAGTCAGCATTCGTCGGAGTAGACGAACATATTCGGGAGTAATATCAACATTGGCGAAAAACCCCCCACAAGCCGCTACAAACATGCGGGACAACGTAATTAGATCCATACGCAGTGTAAATGTCATTAATATCTCTAAACGGGACGGGTCGACCGGCCTAGAGTGGACTGAGGCGGGCGGTCAGTGAGTGAGGCTCAACATCGTCATGAATCCAGCATCGGGATGAGGGTCCACGAGTTGCAAGGATATTCACCCACGCCTCCCCGCCAAACGTGGGTGAATAGCGAATGTTCGCCTGTATATCCGAAAAGGTGCACCAGATGGGATAGGGTAAAGCTGGCCAATGCAAAGGATGATAATAGAGAAGACGTCAGGAGAAGTGACCGCCAAACAGCGGCAACATTACCGGTGTGAATAGACTGCATATGCCAGGCAAACTTGTTCGAACAGGGACAGAAGCAGTTGGTTGGTAAATGGCTGTCATGAAGAACTAGCTTAATTCCTCAGCTATGATTGGCCGCTATACTCTAGAGTTGTTTTACGGCCCTGCAGCTAAAAAGAGACCAACATGCACCAAGTTGTTTCGGACGGGACTTGATTGTGGCGTTTGAGGGTCTGAACGCAAAGACATAAAAAAAGAAAAACATTCTGTAAGAAACGACACGGCAGAAAGCACTCGCACAGCAGGCATAAGGATAGGGTTATTCTTTCACGGGCCCCGGAAAGAAGCCGATTTAGTATGGTACGCTCAACTAGAATAGCAAGGGATGAGGCGGCTGTTGTATTGGTTGTGCTTGGACGATCAGAATCAGGACATGAAATTTAATGATGGCTGTTTGAACGGAAGTCATCAGAGTGCCGCCAACAGATGATCGACTGGGTACTAGGTTGATGACAGGGACAGCGGTCAGTTCAACGTTACTGCATCCGGCTGTTGTTTCCTACGTATCATTCCCTGTTGATGAATGTCATATTCCATGTCTGAAGTTGAGTTCATTACGATGATCCTAGCACAGATCAGGACCAGAGTTGTGGTCGGAGGCTCCGGCGAGTTTCCAATGGCATGATTTCTTTGGTCCAGGAACATTAGGGTTCGCAGGATTATGGACTTTTGACATGGTGAAGTTCGCCTAGTGCCAATGTTTGAGGTTTAGGGCTGAGTTTCCAGGCGTCTTTTGCAGCAGTGGAGGTTCTATTGAAAACCTTACGTAAAATTATGCTCCAAAAGTCTCTAGACAAGTACACAGTATACACCGTAAAACCCCACTTTTACTTCTTCTTTAAACTATTATAATAAATTAAATAAAATAGTTATAAAAATAAAAAAAAGACTATCTTATAAATAAGCTATTAATATATTATTTATAAAAAGTAAAAAGTTTTTAACTAATTATAAAAAAAGTTATAAGGGTTTAAAAAAAGGATATATTTTAAGTAATAATTATAGGCCAATAGTAATTAGAAATACAATATAAATTAAAAAATATACCTTTAAATTCACACTAACTATTAATACTACTTTTTTAAAGCTAAATATTTTATTATTTACTTAATAAATAAAAATTATTTATATATAAAAGTATTTATGTAAAGGCTAAATAATATAATAGTATTTTTTATTTATTTTAATTTTAATAGCTTTATTAGTATATTATATAATATAGTTAGTGTATTTTATATGCAGCACTGTGGGGTGTCTAGAGACTTTTGGAGCATAATTTTAGTAGTTTAGAGGCCCGGGTGGTTGGTAATAACTATGTGTAAGTCGTATGCACGGGGAAAAGAGACGACAAAAGTGGTTGACCCTACAACTTATTTGAAACCGTGTGCCTTCCATATTTGTTGGTGGTGGCTTGGTTTATTCTCCGAAGCCGCACTTTTTATATCAACACTCTTCAATTGCTTGTTTTATTACTTCTGTCTAGTTGTCTCTTGAGGAACATCTCTACTGCATTTGGTACCTTTTCCAAACTCCCCGGTTGTGCTGCGTATAGATGTCTCCTCCAATTACGACACGTCGAATATCTTGCACTAGGATCATTACCCCTTCGGTAAATATCCTATCTTGACATTGGATGAGTATGATTCCTTACCCGCGCCGCGGGGTGGGGTCCGCATCTTCTTACATCACACTCAGGGATGAATGGATGGATACAAACTCCCAAGAGGTGAAAAAACAAGAAGTCGATGTTGTTGTTTTTACCGAATCACACCTTTTTTGAACCTTTCAGATCGTGATGGTCAGAAGCAAGACCACCTGTGACCTCACCAGGCAGTCTCACTATTTCAGAGTGGACATTTCGCCTCGGCACGGCCGGTGTGCTAACTCTTAAAGTCTAGACCAAGGTTTTGGGTTTATCTGCCGCACTTTCGGTATCGATTCCGTACGGGCAGTTTTAGAATGCATGCCTCTGCCTTCAGAAGCTGCCTAGCACCACTTCACGAGCTTTTAGTCCCCTTTTGCGGCTTACGCCCAATCCAATCCAAGACAGTTCACCTCAGTCTTTCAGTGCTGCACCCCCCTAGAAGTGGCCCTGGAGTGTAAGGTAGTGGAGGTCTCCACTATGAAATATGATCCTGGCGCTGCTGGGCTGGCCCCGAGAACCAGGACACAGGTGCCCTATGATTTGATTTGGTGTGCACCTTTTGGTACCTTAGCGGAGCCCTGCCATTCCAATTCAGTTGGCTTTTGCCCGTGGCTTTTTTTGAGTCTCTCCCATCTGCTTCTGCTTCTGCCTTATCCTTAAGTTTGAGGTGTCGTTTAACCTTTAACTTTACTTTACCTTACCTTACTTGTATAGGTAGGTAGGTACAATACTCTACTGTAGCCTTACCACACCATACCTTAGATAGATAAGTACCTTGGTTGCTAAACAAGTTAACTTGCGTTATCTCACCTTGGGAAATATTCTCCTCATTAATCCGTCATTCCCCTCCTCTGAAATTGAGTTGTCTCTTTTTTCCCAATTCTTCTTTTTCTGTCTGTTTGAATTCGTTCGGTCGTTCATAACCGACAGGCAGTAATTGGCCGTACCTAGCGCGATCAAACAGGGCGACGTACCTGCATCAGTGGATACCTTAAACTCTTGCAGTGTTATACCCCATTCCCAACCCCATTCGATCCTGTCTAATTCAATGTGATAGTGGAGGTTAGGATTGTATCCTTACCTTGTCATTCGGTCAGTACCTGACTGACCTTCCATCACTCACTCATTCACTCACATTTTTGCCCGTGCTTCTCGGTCGTTCGCTGCCTACAAACCCCATTACAGTTGTTGGAACCTATCCCTAGGCTGTTTTCTTTAGAGGGCCCCGTCTTCTAAGATATACACCCCCCTTCCCTTCCCTGGGCTTCTCTTTTCTCCCCCTCCCCATCTTTATTCTTCTCAGTCTTCCAGAAGCGTCAAGGACAGGGCATCCTTTACAAACCCCATCCGTCTGTACCGTACCGTACCTTTAACGGGGATTGGGAGCACATCTGGGATTTGGGCCGACAGGAGGAGAGAACTATACTTCTGAGTACGGCACTGCACTGCCTGTGCTACGTACGACTCTACAGTACACTCAAGATTCCGCATTAACTTACCCCCATACCTTTCCTGTCTTTAATGCCCTGGCATGGGCATGACGGCTCAAGACCAAAAGGACAGTCAGGACAGGATAGGGTCGAGCAAGGGCACGGCCTTTAACATCGTCCGTCCGTCTATCCATCCACACATCCATGATTTTGGGACCCGTTGGCGGGTACATTATCGCCAATGTCCCCCGGGAGTTCTTCGTTGTTGTAACATTGAAGCTACTGTACCAGAAGAACGAACCCCCATATCCATATCCATACCATACCCATAGTTCACCTCACTTCACATAACCTTGCTCCCTCTCGTCTTTGCTCGCTCGCTCGCTTTGTCTCCCGTCAATCGTCCGTTTAATCTACTCAATTTGGTGTTGGCACCACCTTGTCGGCATTTCCGCCTCGTTGCTCGTGCCTCTTCCGTCGTTTATCTCCCAGGCCCGTTGCTGCAAGCCTCATCCCGGCCCTCCTCATCCCGGCTTCCGTTTGGCAGTCCTTCCTTGCAAACGACATCATATCAGAACTCTACTCTTTGTTCTGTACCTTACATTTGAACCGCATTGCATTGCCTTGTCTTGCTTACACTGCAACCACTGAGCGTGCAACTGACACCAACACCGAAACTCTGTCACTTCGCCTGATTCTCGCTGCTGTTCACAAGTATAAAGACCTGTGGCCCTCCTCCCTCAACTGTTGATGAATCACGACATCTCCCACAACAACTCTGACACATTGCCTACTCTACTACTTCAACTCTCACCTTTTACACCCATAAAAGGAAAACTCTCATCCTGTTGTTGCATTGCATTATCAACATCTTACCGCACTCCGCCTTGAAAGCCCTGACGCTTCATACAACAGCTATCGTGTAAGTCCAAGGAAGAGCGGACATGAGGTTGCGTTCTACATACCGCGTCTTACATATCTGCTTACAACTTACATACATCCCATGTTGGGCTGTCTGTCTCATGCATGCATGCAAGGCTAATATTGTATTCCCCCAGGAACATAGCCGCATCCAATCAGGCCATCAAATCTTGTGAGAGGGTTCAAGAGACTCTCGACAGCATCTACACCTTTACTGTACCACCCACAACACCGCCACAATTCCCGACAAAATGGCCAACGCTTGCGCCCACCAGTTCCGAATGATCAAGTCGGACAACACTCTTGTCCAGTGGATCTGCCAGCACTGTCGGTCCGGTCCTCACTGGATGATCTGGGAGTGCACCTACTGCAAGCTTCATCTATGCCGACCTTGCACGCAGTCTGCTTAAGGGCTTGTGTGTACATGCGCAAGTCACTTAATGCCGAGACAGTGTTTGGCAGCCACATGCGAAAATGTGTGTGCAGCTGCTTTGTTGTGCTTTCGCTTTTTTCTTCTGCTTCTGCAACCTCACTCAGCACCCACTGATATGGTCTGACTTACAAAAACGCGAGAGGCTCAACCCAAGCAGAAAGTGGAAAGCTTCTCCTTCTTGGTCTCGGTGCAGATGCACATTTGCGATCAGAGAAGATGGTCTCAGCATGGGCATTTGATTTGATTGCACTTGGCACAAGTTACTTACTGCTACGCTACACTACAGTACGCTACGTACTGCGGAACGGCAGCCCGGAGCTGGCTCTGGATGCACGGCTACCGAACTGTCACACACCCCCTCGCGTGCACCCATCACAGCATTTCTTTTCACCTTCAGTTGACACACAACGTCATTTCGACTTATACTCACTGGCTTGAGATTTTCCTATCATACCCAGTTTAGCTGAGCTGAGCTGGGCCTCGAAGAACAACACATACGCATGCATGCATTGGACAAGACATCAACAACAAACAACAAACAACTTGGAGTACATTAGGTGCTGATACAGTGACTCAGTCGGGCTATGTCAGTGTCTCTTTGGGG